AAGATCCCAATGATGAATGTAACTGTACTGTATACCTAAAAAGTACCAATAAACTCAATGAGATTTTTAAAAATATATGCAAATCTGCCAATCCTGAGCCCCACCCCTGTACCTGTAGTAGCTGTGCCTGTAGTACCTGGCTCCCACAGTCCAGGGCACTATCCTCAGGGCCACACTTCACAAACTCTAGGCCAGGGGTGGTGAACCTATGGTGTGCGTGCCACAGTGGGCCATTGTATCGCTGAAAGTTCTAAAAGGTTCACCATCACTGCTAGTCAACCCAGACCCCAGAGCCCCCTGACATCATCCGAGCTGTCCTATCCTACACCCTGTGCACAGTCCACCCATATCCCCCCCGCCCCGGCCACAGTACAGGCTCAGACACACACTCCCTTCATTTGTTCTGCCCTAGTGACCCAGATGTTCCCTGTATGGCCCCCAAGGCACGGCGCCCTGTCCTCTTGGGAACCGGAACCATGTAACACACCATCTTCACCTTGGCTGATCTGTTGGCCTCACTATACCTAAATAAATACAAAACCATGGGTACTTTCCAAAACAGCCTATTCCCTTCCAGAAAACTGTGGCATCCCCAGCAGGGTTTGTATGCTGCAGAGCTTTTAAGGGGACAGGGACCTTGAAGGGCAGCGTCTCCAAACTGTTGTCTGGGGATGGAGCATGGAACGCCTTTCCTGCCCGGCCATCTGGTGGGTGTTGCCAAGACTGCAGGCCTCTAACCAAAAGACTGCGGTCTCCTGATGCACAGACCTGTGATTGTCTGACCCCTCCCAGGACAGCCGCCCCTTGAGCCCAGAGCAGTCCAGAACCCCAGTGCCGTCCTCCAGCCGTGCACTCTGAGGTCTGACAGCGGGGAGGACACAAGCTTCCCCCCAATCCCCAACCACCACTGGCTCCTCTTTGTGGGTCCTGGAAAGAGAAGAAAGGCCCTGCATCAGCAGAGGATGTGAGGCAAGCCTGTCCCCGCTCCAAGGGTGTATCCTTCCCATCCCAATATGACTAACCGCCAAAAGTCCTCCCATCAAAGCTTGGCCACCACCCAGAGCCCAGGGCCAGATCCCAAGACAAAGGCCTTCCCTCAGGCACAAGTCCATCCAGGGCCAAGCTGCCTCTTGGGAGATACATCTGCTCACACCCTGGGCTGGAGCCACACTGTTATGTTGTGAAATTTGAAAATGTGACAGAGGGAGATCATCCAGAGGAGGATGGAGAGGAGGGGACGGCATGCTTTCCAGCCCCCCACCCCCGAAGCCGGGCCAGCTGCCCCCTGCCAGGGTTTATATCCTGAAATGGACAGAACCCACCTGGAGATGAGAGAGGTCAGTATCACCCAGTGGGACCTGCCCCAGGACCTCCTTGACTCTCAGAGAGCCTGGTGCCATGCCACTGGAGACCAAGGAGGGTCCACACTCCCCAACCTGGCCTTGCTCAGACTCCTGGGAAGGGGATGGTGGCAGGAGCAGCTGGATTCACTCCCTGCTTTCAGTTTCTCCCTGGATGAAAAGAAAGGTTGGAATCAAGCGTCCTGGAGAGATGTTCCAGCTCCGACAAGCTGCAAACCTATAATCTGGAGCATGCTGAGAGGGACAGAATCCAGTGGGCTTTAGGGGCCTACTCCAGGCCAGCATCCCCTCATCCCTCCCTCCCCAGCACAGAAAGGACTGTTATCATAGACAGTACTTCCGAATGATTTCCAAAGGCACAGCAGCCCCAGACAAGAAAGCATGAGGAGGGGCAGGCCATCAGCAGCTCAGGGAGAGACAGAAAGAGAATATAATATGCATATACACACACAACCAGGCAGGCTCCAGGGTCCCCAGGAAAGATCTCTCAGGAGTCTTGACAGCCCGTGACTCAGAAGCCCTTATATTTGTTATTCGGTGGGTGGGAAAGCCCAGGGCTCAGAGGCTGAATGTCTGAATTTAAATCCTGGCTCCACTGCCTTCCTTCTGTGAGACCTAACTTTGCTGCACCTCGTGTCCTCATGTGGACACCAGGAGCAACAATGGCACCCAGGTCAAAGACTGAGCCAGAAACAAGTCTGGCAGAGTGGATGCATGGCCGTTAGGACTAAGATTTGCCCCTCACTGTCCCTTCACTGACCTGGACCCACCTGGCCTCCTATATTTTCCAGAAGCTGTGTTGTTGTCAAAGTAGAGCAGGCCATGGAGACCTACAGACCAAAGTTCAAACTCAGGCTCCACTGCCTATTATATTGGCTTATCTCTATGCCTCAGTTTCCCCAGCTGCAAAACGGGAAGGGTAATAATCATGGACATGTCTTGGAGTTGCAAAGGGACTTAAAGGAAGGTATTCATTGAAAGTACCTTGCAAGGAGTGAAGCCTGCAGTAAGGACTCTGCACATTTGCTAGTATTATTAGTTCCCTTCCCCCAGAGCCCTGCCTCTCCTAGCCCCAGTTCTTAGAGTCCAAAAGTCGCCCGAGTCTAAAAACCACAACTGTGGTGGTTTCAAAACCAACCCTGGCTTCAGAGTCTGTGGATTGCTAGTCAACCTGGAGAAGCAAGGTGATTTCCACTGCAGGACTCTGCCATGTGGCCCCTGGGAGAAGGACAAGCCTCACAGCTGCCAGACACTAGGCCCTTTCCCAAAACACAACAGCAAGAGAGCATGCCCATGGGCCCCTGACCCAACACAGGCTGGTCAGAGCTTCATGGTTGGGCAGGGTCTTTGGTACTGTCTGCCAGGTCTGGGAGTGTCTGGCTGCCTTTTTCCATTTATCTTCCTGGGCATCCAGTCCCAGGCATCTGGGACAGCTGGGGACAGCCAGACTCACTCCTCCTCCTTCTCCGGGTCACATGGCATTCATCTGAAAACCAGCAAGTCCACAAACCCCAGGGAGGACAGACAGGGACAGGTATAGGCTGAGCCCAGAGCAAACTTTCCCAACCTGGCCCAGATGCCAGCTCCCCGCCCACCTAGTGGGAAGGTGTTGTGGGGAGCCTTGATCCAGCTGTGCTACAGCCAAGCAGGAGACTTGCTTGGTCTTGGGAGGCACAATCTTCCAGCCCTAGCCCTGCCTCTGTGTTTTCTCCAGCCTCAGGCTACCTGCCAAAGGGGACACTGACCACCCAGCTCATTTGGGCTAATGCTAAGAGCTCAGAAGTTCTACTCAGGAATGGGCTGAGAGCTGGTTTTCCCAGGACCTTCACCCTCCACTGCACACCCCTCCCCACTGGTAACCCCTCGCACTACAGCCCATCTGTCCAGAATCTCTGCCCAGCTCCAGTGATGTGGCAGCCACCCATCCTGCCCTTCTCCATGACCCGAGGCCACAAGGCTGGATGCAGTTCTGGGGCACATGTCACTGTGCCATCCTACACTTTACCCAAATGCACCTTATTCAGTCCAGGTGACCACAGGCCTACCTGGGTCCCTAAGCAGCAATAAAAAAGGGAACCAGAAGACTGATTAAAAAAAAAAAAAAAAAGACACAGCAGGTGGGGAAGGTGAGTGGGGAGGGAGAAGAGAGACCGCCTTGTTGCCAGGCAATCAGGTCCGCTCAAGGCCTCTCCAGGCTGTTTGCATATCAATGAGCTTCCCATATTTAGCACCAGGGTTAGGGCACCCACGCGCATTTCCTCCAGGCCCCTGGTTCCAACCTCCTGCCAAGGCCCAGATCTTTGAAAAAAGCACAGACACCCACACTAGGCTGCTGCTCCAGGGTGCACTGGGTGACCAACTGTCCAGCTGGGAAAACTAGAGATAAACGCAGGGTCAGTGAGGGGAGGGTGCACAGACAGGAAGCAGCAGCACTAGAGCAAGCACTGAGTCCCTGGAGCAGCCCAGAAAGCCCCTTGGACCCAGGAGTGAGCCAAGGCCCAGAACACCCGTGAGCAGGAACGGGCATTGCTCCCTCTGAGAAACATGCCCAGCATGCTCATCCTGGCTACACGATGCATTCGTGCCGCACGTGTGCCCTGGTCCCTATCTGCGCCCTTGGGAGCACCATCCCAGTCACATGTGTCAGCCTGGACACCTGGCAGGCTGGGCCTGGAGTCTGGCAGCGTGTCAGCCCCCATCTGGAGGGAGGCCATGGAGGTGCTGGCTCCGGAAGCTAGCATCTCAGAGTAAGGAATCCACTTCCTCCCAGAGCTGATCGGAATGCTAGGGAAGGTTTCAGAAGCTGGAGGTGGGGGCCTTTGCCTGCAGTGTCCCCAGAGCCCAGAGCAGTGAGGGGAAGCCCAGGAAGAGGGGAGGTGCAGGGCTGTGACAGGAATCAGCAAAGGACAGAAAGTTCTACCTGAACTGGAACCTTCAAGGCCACAAGTCCCAAAGCTTCATTTGCATATGAGGAAAAAAGTTGTAAAAGGGAAATTGAGCAAAGGAAAAGAGGAAGAAGATAGGAGAGTTGATGATGGGATGGAAGAAGGGAGGATAAAACCCAGGGGTGCAGATGGGCCACCCCACTGTTTGGCACAGCTGCAGGATAAACCCCCCGGTCCCCCAGATATGGAGGCCCCACGTCAGCCTCCAGCCCAGGATGGCCAGCAACCTTGACCTTTCCCACATTTCCCTGAAAGAGAGCTGGGGCGGGCCCTGAACCTAGGGCAGGGGCGCTGCGGCTCCAGCCCTCTCCTCTTTCTTTCCTTTGTTTAATGAACACATCTCCCTGCTTCTCTAATTAGGTGGAACAAACAAGTTGAACCACGATTTTTATTTCCCAGAAAAGCACCCGCCTGGACACAGTAAATATGTCATTAATCATCATTCTAGGGCAGAGGCGCAGGCTGGGCTAGGGAGGAGGGGAAGTAGGCCCAGGACCTAATTAGGTTCAGGCCTCCCCACTCCCCTGCACCCACAGGCCCCATCCCAACACCCAGCCCATGTTCCTGGGAAGACTCAGATTTACGTCAGCATCCCTTGTTAGTATCTCAGAAGAGTAAAGAAGAGGAGATGGGGAGAACAATGTTGGCCCCTCCCCTCCTCCCCTCACACTACCCTGTGGTCTTATTTTCATCCAGGAAATTGTTTCTTATTATCACTTAGCTATTTATAGTCCTAGAGAGGTCTGCAGAGCAGCCCCAAGCCATCTCAGTAATGTAGTGCCGGCTGAGCTCCCTCCCAGCCGGCTAAATCACACGCCCGCAGTCATTTTGGGGTGCCTCCAGTGGAGCACCCCAGCCCAGAGGCTGACCTGAAGACTCTACCTTGGGGGCTACTGCAGGGACTGGCCACATCCCTCTCCCCTGGCCATCAGCCCAGGCTGGGGCTATCACCACTGCTCCCAGGAAGGGAAGCACTAGGAAGCCTCGGGCCTGTGAGGCCAGCTTTGAGGGATTCAGGAGAAAGGCAGGGCTGTGCCAGCTCTGAGGATCTCTCTCCATGATTAGGTCAGGCTTGGCCTAAAGCAGGGTTCTCAGATGCAGATGGATGCTCAGGCCAGCCACTCCTAGTCCCATAGGCCACAGACATACCTCAAATTGAGAGGGGCCGCACCCAAATGAGTACCCGAAGGGCAGGTTCCAGTGGCCTACTGGTTGCTACTAGCTAGCCCAGTAACTGGCCTCTAAGATACATAATTGCCGTGTTTCCACCTGCAAGGTGAAGCGCATAATTACTGCGCTCATTTATCTCAGGGAAACAGAACAGAGGGTCACTACTCTGAAGTTCTCCATTTGTAAATGCCGGTGCAGCTCTGCCCAGCAAGTTCCTGGCTCACTGTGAACTCTGTTTTCTCTTGCAAAACAAGAGATAATGCTCCTTTATTTCTAGGCCCTTGAGAGAACTGGAGACAATACCACCAGTATTTTATGGGCCACCACGGGTAAGTGGAGCCATCTAGTGCCTGGCTACCATTCTGGCAAAATAAGACTGTATCCCACTCCTACACCCATGAGTGAAGTTCCTTTCCAGACAGGATGTCTTTGAAGCTGCATAGAGTTCAGTACTCACCTGCCTGTTCCTCCCACCCAGCACATGCTCCCAGGCCTGTGCTTTCCTTAATGAGCCCCAGATTACTGGGGAAGTAGCTGGCAAGGGGCACTAAGGAGGGGAAGGATAGTAGCCGTAATGGGGGAATGAGATATGGAACAGTATTTTGGTCCAGTAGGAAAAGGCAGTGACCTCATAAAAAAGGAGACCAATGGCTTCAGAACTTGTGCTGATTTCCTAGAGCTTCCATAGCAAAGCACCATGATTTGGTGCTTAGAACAATAAAAACTCTTTCTCTCACAGTTGTCAAGGCCAAGTCAGAGATAGAGGTGTCGGCAGGGCTGTGCTACCTCCAAAGACTCTAGCGACAAACTTTCCTTGTCTCTTCCAGCTCCTGTTGGCTTCCTGTCTTCCTTGCCTTGGGTAGTAGTATTCAAGCTCTGGCTCCATTGTCACACAGTGCCTCGGAGTCTGTGTCATGTCCTCCTCTTAAAAGGACCACCTAGGGACCTCCCTATCCAGGATGGTCTCGTCTCAAAATCCTCGATCAATTAATAATAACTACTCTGCAGAGACCCTATTATGAAACAAGGTCACATTCTAAGGTTCTAGGTAGACACAACTTTGGGGGGCTATTGTTCATTCTGCAGGACCCTAACGCTTACGTTACTGCCGACATGAAGTGTGAGTTTGGTCATATCCCATCACCTCTCAATCTCGCCAATTTTCTTCTCTGTCTGATGGAAAATAATGGCATCTGTCCTGCCATAGCTTAGTGGGGTCTCTAAGGAGATCAAGAAGTAGAATGATGTGAAATGTTGCAAGGATTTGCATTGAACAGTAATGAAAGAATGTGATGCATTGATTCTAACCCCATCCTACCCAGCCTTCTCCTTGGCCATGCCCCAAACTGCACCTTCTTCTGCAAACGGTCATTGCTCAGGACCCACAACATCTGCCTGGCTGCAAACCATCCCCTCGACTCCTGCCGATCAAGGAGCTCTGTGGCTCACCCAGGCACCAGAGACAGAATAGAGGTCAACTCGTTCCTATAAAGGACTGATCAAAGCATGGTTTCCATTAGGCCCAGTAGGGTGGCTCTTGTTTTTCTGACTTACAAGTCCAAGCTGATTTTCAAACATGATGGTGATCTTTCCAGTTCCTTTTTTCTTCCACAGCCCAGCCCTGATCCAGGCCAGGGAGCTAAGGATAACTGCCAGCCCTAGTAGAAATGGACACCCCACCTCTCCTGAGCTAATGTCCCCCATCCCACACATATGTCTGCTCTCTGCTCTTCTCTGTAGTCTACCCAGGCCATCCCAGCCCAGTGACATGGGACCTCCTATCCCTTCTATCCCTCCAGACCCTGCTTCGTGATGGTAAGAGAGAAAGCATTGTCAGCACCCTGTTCATCTCCCCTGGTGATGTGGAAAATGGACAAAGCATCGTGTGCCGTGCCACCAACAAAGCCATCCCTGGAGGGAAGGAGACCTCGGTCACCATTGACATCCAGCGTGAGTGCAGATCAGCCCCACTCAGGCTGGCCAGGCCCAGTGAGGGAACCACCTGGCAGCCCTGCCCATGGTCCTGGCCATCTGAAGGCACAGGTGCTTGGTCCCCACAGCTCTGAGGATGGTCACTTTCTGGGTCTGGGTAGGAGGACCATCTTGTCCTTACTGTCATGGGAAGCACAGGGAAGGTCTTTTGCCAAAGACAGCTTCATGTCACACTTAGATACCTTTATAAGGTAGAGCTTTCATACCAGCAAATGCAGTCAGCTACTGGCCTGCTGGAGGAGGGAAAGCTGGGGTGGAGACCCTGGTTGCTGAAGGACACTGGGGCTCCACAATGTGCCCTACAGGAAGTATACAGGAAGAGGGAGAGCAGGTGTACAGTCGGCAGTCGGCCCCTACTTTGCTGTATTATCTCATTTAATCCTTTTGGGGCACCATCTAGGGTAACTGAGGCACTGGAAGGTTAGTTAACTTACCCAAGGCTGCAGAGGGTTCAAGCCCAAGTTGATGCAGGTTTGCTTTTCAAGTCCACTGAAGAAACCCTCACTCTACTCCCACAAAGTCAGCAGTCCTCATTGTCACGTTACAGTTAATATTAACAATAAGGCAGCCGTAACGCCAAAGGTCCCCTGAAGATTCCCTATGGGCTCAGCATCCCCCATGAATGAAGAAGAGCTCAGTAAGGTCATTCCAGCAGCCTTCCTTCAAAAGAAAGAGGATTAGTTCAGTCATGAAGCACCAGTCCTCAGAAGACTCCCCTCCCTGCCATAGAACATGATGTCACTGCTTGCTGGTGACTGCTTGGTCCCAGGCTGAGGGACAATTGGAGCTGAGGGCTGGTATCCATGTCCTCCCCAGCATTTATTCATTTTAAAGCAAATGAACATAAAAACAGCCCTGGCTCCTCTGAGATCTCACTCAGCAAGGAGTCAGAATGCACAGGGCCCTTGTCTTAGGATTTTCGTAACCACTGTGGGCAGACAGTACAAATGCCCAGAACCCTGGCAGAAACTGCTTAGATCCCAGAAGGAAGAAGAAATGGTTGTGAGCATCCTCTGCCTTCTAGGAACCTGAGCACAATGGTGGAGCTCTTGGGAAGGTTCCTCCTTCACTGTCTTAGTACCTAGTGCTTAGTATCTAGTATTTAGTACTACCAGCTACTAACAACCCCCCTTAGCTCCTCCCACACAGCCTCAGGCTCCTTCCACTCCTCTGTCAGTGAGAGCCAGGAGGTCACCTAGGGTATAAAATGTAAGGAGAGGCTCCCTCTGACAGGTCACATAAGTACAGGGTGAGTCCCAACAGGGAGGACCTTCCCAGATTCTGCACCCTAGGCTCCTCCCTCCCCTGTCCCCAGTCTAGCCTTGGCTCTCAGGACCATCTGCTTCCATCCAGGTGAACAGCTGTGGCACTGAGCAAAAGCCCAGCTCTGGAGCAGAGCCAAGATGCTACTCGGTGGGGTGATCGAATGTCCAGAATGGCCCTACACCCATGAGCTGGGCAGGTGTCAGCTTGTCACTTCTCTGATTTGACTGATGGTGTCCAAGGTCTCACCCAGCTCTAGGACTGACTGTGGCTGAGGACTTTCTCCAGACATGGCCAGATGTGGAGGAAAGAACAGGAGACACAAGGCACCAAACCCCTTATTCCCAAACTTCGATTTGTGGCTGTTGTGCTGCTCCCTGTCCTCCCTCCCCTCATCCCCGGCCTGGGCAGGAGGCTGTACCAGCTACAGAATCCTGCACTAAAGAAACGACCTAGTTGGCTCCCCTACAACAACAGCCACAGCCCTGGCAGGAAGAGATTGAGAAGAAGTGGTGTTTCTGCTCCAGACCATTAGCCATCACCAGGGGAACCTCTCCCAGGGACAAGAAAGGCATCATCATAACCACCCCTGGCAACTCAAAGGCTTCCTCTAGACAAAGTCCAGCTAGAGGCCCCATTCTCCAGGCTGCACGGACGATGGGGTTGGAACCAGCAGGCCAGGTCTCTGGGCCTGGTCTGGAATTCTTTCCAAGTACATCTCAACCATGTCAGGCTGGGGCCATGGGAAATGTGGCCAGAGTGAGGCTCAGAACCCAGGTGCGTGGTTTCCTAGATGGGCCCTTGCAAGGCAGTACAGCATTACGGTGATTTGAATTCTGGCTCCACCACGTACCGATTAGTTAATTGCTACCTGCTTCAGTTTCTGCATCAGGACACAGCAGTATTCTTGCTCACCTCCTAGGGTTGCCATGAGGACTAAATGAAATCATTTACGCTGGCACCCAGCACCATACTTGACCCAATATGAGTGCCATATCTATTCCCAAGGTGACAGCAGTCCCTCCCAGCACCCCTAATCCCCTAGGCTGAGGCCCCAGCACTCCGTCCGTTTCCCAGACAGAAGGTGTTTAGATGCGCCTGCTCCACAAGGCACAGCCTCTCTTCACGCCTCCCTCCTCTTGCTCTCTCCTCCTCTGTTGATTCATTTGTTCATTCCATACGCATCCAACTGTTTGCCGTGGACACCACAGCCTGGATCCAAGCCGCCTTTGCAAACCTGCTCATTTTCTCAGTCAACCAAGAAGCATCCAAACTCAGCAAAAGCACATTTGTTGTTTGTTTCCCTTGGTCTTTCTATGTTACCCAACGGAAGACAAAGCCCCCAGATTGAGTAATGGAGAGAAAGCATAACACCCCCAAAGCCTCTCCACATCTGGAATCTGTGTCCAGCTGCCAAGTTTCAAATGGATGTGCTATAAAATCACTGAGTCGTGAAGTTTCTCTCTTATCCCCCTTCATGTAATACTTCCCCTGAAAACACACAAGCACACGCACGCACGCACACATACAGGCACACACAAGCACCCACACAGGTTGCTGATGGAAACACTAACAGACTCTCAGCTGTAACATCTGTTCAATGTGATCTCAGTTCCACCAGCTACATCAAAGCTGCCCTCCTGCAAGTTATGCAGCTGACATCACAAGTGGGATTAAAATCATGTTGAATAGTTGGATATGACATAAACTATTTATACCCCCGGAGCTCAGCAGACTCCTGAAAATTCATATCCTGTGCATCCAGAGGAGAAGAGTGGAGAGAGCGATAGGGCTGGGGCTGGGGCAGGGATGTAGATGAAACAGGCAAGCAGGGCCTCCTGGAGTACTGCAAGGAGAGAAGGAGGAAGCACAAGAGAGCCCTCCATAGGGGGAATGATCAGGCAGCGGGAAGGGTGGCCAGCAACCATGTGCTCCGTGTCCCTGCCTCCTGAGGGCTCCTCATGGAACATCCCCAATTCCATAGCAGGGTTCCAGATCCTACTGAACCGACACGGTCATTCCCTGAAACAAGAGCACTAGGTTTCATGAGGACCTGGGCCTGCTACGCACTGGGGTCCAGATGGCAATGACCAATCTCCTGTTCCTCCAGACACACTTCCCCACAGTGAGGTTCAAGCTCTTCCCTGGCCTCTGAGCTTAGCTGGCCAGCCCTGCAGGACAGAGTCTCAGGCCCCTGCTTCAACCTTCCCTGGAAGCAGGGGAGCAGCCTTGGGGAGAGGCCATAAGTGTAGGGAGGGGACAGCTCTCCTGGGAGACAGCAGCAGAGTTCTCATAGGTGTTCCTTGCTATATACATCTTCGTGATCACTTAATTGGTGCCTTAAAACTGAGATTGAACTGACCAAAATACCCAGCTGTGCCCATCAGCTTTCCATCGCATAGCAAATATCTGAGAGAATAAACTTAGCTAAGAGAAAAGGTTTATTCAGGCTCTTGGTTTCGGTGGTTCCATTCCTTGATCAGTTGACCCCATTGCTTTAGGTTACGATTAGGCAGCACGTCATAGCAAGAGAGCATGTGAGCGGGAGAAAAAAGAGGACAAAGAAGAGACTGAGGTCCCACAAACCCCTTCAAAGACACAACCCCAAGGGCCTAAAGGCCTCCCAGAGCTCCCACCTCTCAGCACCTCCACCACCCCTCAATAGCACCTCCGTGGGCCCAGGCCTTTAACACACAGGCTTTTGGGGACATGAAATCCAAACGGTAGCACCATCATGTCCCTCACGTCTCTCCATGAAAGGGGAGCGGGCAGGCTCCTCCAGCAGCGATGCTTCCTGGATTTGTGGTCCCCCACCTGGAACCTGGGGACGGGGTGGGAAGAGCAGGCTCCCCGGTACAGGTATCTACCTGCTGCCCATCAGGGTTCTGCAGATGCCTGCACAGCCCAGTGGGCATCTCCAGCACAGACAATGAGTCTTGGCACACAGAGCAGGGGCACAGCAGTCAAGCGGTCCCACTCCCGGCTCAGCCCCAGCTGCTGGGCTGCGCACTGACTCTCTGAGGGCCTCAGACCCCCACCTGTAGACTCAGCCAGGATCCAGACCCTTGCTCCCTGTGCAGCCTCTCACAAGGGCTCAAAGGGGCCAGGATTTTTCTTGATGGCCTCTGAGAAACGAAGTGCTGATTTTCCTGAAGATGAACCACACACCTAGAAAGTTCCCGTGGCTCTCCAGTGATGTGCTCTGCTTGTGGGGGCAGACAGGCCCAGAAGATGCAACCCAGGGTTCTGGCTAGGCCGAGGGGTCTGCTGTTTTTGAACTCAGCCCAGAGCTGAACTCCAGCCAGGCCTCCAGGCTGTGACAATGAAGAATCACTGGCAGTGGCTCACTGTCTCCTCTCTCCTGGAGTATGGCCGCCCAGGGCTACCAGGGCCAGCAGCCAGGGTGGTCCAGCCTTGGAGGAGGTCTGGAGCCAGCTCCCCATAAGTGGGCAGGACCAAGGCCTCTCCTGGGCTGATCTCCACCTCAGTGCCTCTCTGGTGAGGACCCCTCAAGGTCTGTTTCTCCCTCTCTCTTTTCTCTGTCCCTCATTATTTTGGTTCTTCTCCCCAACATGCTGTCATTTTCTGTCTCTGATACTGGGTGTCCCTTGTTCTTTTCTGCTTTCAGTGCAAGATCTTCGATTACACATCCCCGTATCTCCATCCACCTCTCTCTCATGCCTTCTGTGCAGATCTCTGAGTCTCCAGGTCTTGTCTCCCTCCCTCTGACTTCCTGTCTCTTCCACCTCCTGCCATTTAGCACTTCAGAGCCTGGCTTCTTACCACATCAGAAGAGAAAACAAGCCCCCTCCCGGCAGTGAGTGCCCGATGACACCAGTCAGGACTGTGGAGATGATTACGCTGACGAAAGGGTGTAAATGCCACTTCCACGTTACCAGTGGCCCCAGAACCTTTACACGGAGAAATCACAAACAGACCTTTCAAAGACAGAAACTCGTGCAGAAATGGGCTGAATGTCCATCTCCCCTCCCCTGCACCCCTTCTCACCTCTCCTTCTGAAGCATTTTGTTCTACTAGAAGCTGGAAATGGGCAGCATGATCCCTCCTTGCCTGAGGGTTCATTTCAGTCCCAGACGTTCACTCCTCCATCCTCCGGATGAGCCCTTTCTGGCTTTGAAGTGACCACTAGGGTGGTGGCTGCTCTGAGGGTCCCAGGAGGGTGGAATTTCTGGCCTTTACCCTCCCTGTCACCCAGGGGGCTTCCTGGGCTGCTCTTTCCCCATTCACAAGTACAGCTCTCCTTCTCCCTGCAGACCCCCCGCTTGTCAACCTGTCCGTGGAACCACAGCCGGTCCTGGAGGACAATGTCGTCACATTCCACTGCTCTGCGAAGGCCAACCCTGCTGTTACCCAGTACCGGTGAGCATCATGGCTGCAGAGACACAGCCTGGCCCTCGGCCAGTCCTGTCATATGGAGTGTCCCTTGCTGTTCACACATGGCCATGGTGTGTGGTTCATATCAGTGTCCAAAGAGCCTTCCTCCATTCCCCTACACCCAGCCACCAGCCAGCCAAGTAGATGTTTCTTTTCCATGTTCTGTAGGAGGAACAGGCAGTACCTTTCCGTGTAACACCTTGTTAAACCTCCTTCTGAAAAGAGCGAGACTCAGGCAAAAAGTTAAAGGAGCCAAGAGAATCAGTCAGTCTGTCCTCAACACTGTTCCCCAACTCAGGTCTGGTGGTGCCCCAACCCTACATGCCCATGGCCCAAGGTCCTTTCCCACATAACTGATGAAAGCATCACTGTTTTTTCCATGCTTGTCACTGCCTTTTGACAGAGCTTCTCGAAGGCAAGAACTGCAATTTAGTCACTTGTGGCTCTCAGTGTGTAGTGTGGCACTTGGCATGAACTAGGGGCTCCTTATCCGAGGCTGCCTGATTGACTGAGCACACAGCAGCCCCCCGGCACCTCACTGCCCATGCACCTCACCACGTGGGATTCCAAAACCGAGTGGCCTGGAGGGGCTCGAGGGCTGGCTCAGGATGCGACCCTCCGCTCAGATGCCTCCAGGAAGTCACTGAGGCCCCAAGTCTGCCTGGTAGCAGAGCTCAGGGCATCACCTCCACTGTGGATCTGGGTTATTAAGCTGCAGCCTCAGCAAGGGCCGAGGATGCTAATGGTCCAGACCAGGAAAGTGGCCAGCCAGTAGGGGTGGGAAGCAGGGAAGACGTGAGGCATTGCGGGCCCAGCAGGCTGAGTGAGGGCAAATGGATCAAAGAGGCAGCCAGAGACTCAGGTTGGATGTTAGGAGAGCTCCCTGCAGTGGGGATAATTAAGCAGCACTGGGGAGGGCATAGGGCATCTCCTGGAGGATATATTAAAGTAGGATGGAAACCCACCTGTCCTGCCTGACTTAACCCTTCCTTGCACTGGAGGCCGTAAAAACCTCAAGGTCCCTTCCTGGCTCCCAGCAACCCTGCAGCCCACTTAGGTCCAAGGGGCAGGCTTGGCTTGGCTGAGTATTTGTCCCGAAATGATAGAAGATGCAGAAGACTACTTTCCTCTGGACCTGCACGTTCCAGGCTAGTCTTCTGGCCTCTGTCTGCTCCCGGCCCTCGATACTAGGAATAGTGTGCCCATAAAACAGCTCTCATGTAGGTTTCCTAAGGCCGCTCTTCTCACCCCCTCACCACTCTTGCATGAACCCCAGCAGACACCCTGCCCACTCATCTTCAGGACCATGCCCTGATAAGGCACTGGTCATCTGGAGTCCTGGGGATTAGAGGCTGGAAAGGCAGCAGGCAGAAATCCAGCAGGCCTCTGGCCACACCCCTGCCTCCTGGCTTCTGTGAGCTGTGGGGCCTGGCTCCCAAGGCCAACCACCTCAAAAAGATGGAACAATACAGAGTCAGGCATGGTGATACACACCTATAATGCCAGCACTCTTGGAGGCTGAGGCAGGAGGATCACATGTTCATGCCCACCTGGGCAGCCTAGTGACTTAGAAGTCCCTATCTCAAAATAAAAAATAAAAAAGGGTTGTGGTATAGCTCAGTGCAAAGGCTCTGGGTTCAATCCTCGTCCTGAAGAAAAAAAAAAAGAGGAGGAAGGGGTGTAAATCTATAAAAGGAGAAGTCATTCTAAAGCACATATGGCCAAGTGTGAACAACTGGTAGATGTAGGGGAAGAAAGACGACAATAGTTAATGGGACTGTTCTGTAAATCTCCTATTTCGAAGTTTGGTTTGGAGAAGTGAAAAGCTAATGAGCATGCAGGCTTCCTTGGGTGGTGGTATCAGAGGGAATTCTCTGCCTCTCTATCCCACTTTGTGGCTCCAGGGACCCAGGAGCACCTGGTGCCCTTAGGAGCTGTGAGGGGCATGGTGGGGACTCCTTGCAGGTGGTCACTGGTTTTTACTCATCACATCCCTCATGGCCTTTTGACTAGCCTGAAAATATATCAGTGTGGGTTTGGTCTCCATCTGGGGCTCCAAAAGCTTTGGGGCATCCTTCAGGCCAAGGCTGTGGAGACCTGTGCCCTCCCTGGCTGTGCAGCCCCTTCCCCCAGCAAGGACTCACCTAGCAACCTAGGTTTGCAAGCACATTCTAAATGCAGTGGTAGGACCCAAGAGGAAAAGCCTTAAGCAAATCTCATCACATAAATACATTGATTTTTCCCAACTGACTTTGATGAGATCTCGGGAATCTTTGTTTCTTTACTTGCCTTTGTCTTGAGTGATTCCTCCCTGGCCCACCTAAAAGGCCCACCTGTAATCTCCAAAATTAAGCAAATGCTCTCCCCCACCCCAACACCCCAAAATAGGGCATGGCCAGGCGTGGCTATATTTTTGGCTGCCCCCAGGGACCAGAAGCCCAGGGCCAGCAGAACAGGCCTGAGTGCAGCGTGAGGCTCCCCGGCTCTGTGCTCTGAGGTGGCCGCAGACAAGCAAGAGGCTATCTGACATGCCAGCCTGTCGTCCGTGACACGCCAGCCTCCTGATTCCTCGATATAAATAATTAATCCTCTTACATTTGTTCAGCCAAAATTAGACATTGATTGGGGAAGGCTTAAACTGAGTCCCTTCGCAGAGGGGCTAGGAGAGATGTGGAAGCAACAGCGGGGGAAGAGAGGCGACACACAGAGGAACAGCCAGCAGAAGGAAGCTAAGCCTCAGAGCCACAGGAGACAAGAGGGGCCCCGGTTGGGCATCCAGCTGCCAAGAGGCATGTTTGGAGCCTTCTGAAGAGATCCCTCAGGCTTGTTAGGCATGGGAGGGGAAGACACACTGAGGTGTGAGCAGAGAACTCCTGGGGCATGGGGTACCAAAGGCACCTTCAGTAAAGACCCTGGTCTTGGGCTCCTGAGGATCCAGCCCCTCAGCTGCTCCTGCCCATGACCCTGGGAGGGGGCAGTCAGAGAATGTCTCCTGCCCTCTTGGCATCTCTAATGGAAGACAGGACACAGAGGGCCATTTCAGATAGCATGGCCCTGCTGGATCAAGAAAGCCTCCTCTCCCACGGCTGGCTGGGTCCTCTTGTCTCTTCCTCTCTGACTCCATCCTGGCCTGGGGAGGAGGAGCTCAAGGCCCTGGAATGCTGGGCTCCAAGCCTGCAGGACCCTAGGGCTTCTCCTGCTGACTCAGGGCCAAGTGAGTGACTTTCACAGGGAGGGCCCCGACAGAGAAGAAGAAGGCCCATCTTCTCTAGGAGCCCCTGAGGAAGCAACAGGGCTGCCCCATCACAGCCAACTCTCCTGGGCCCCAGCCTCAGCACCCACTGCTGAAAGCCTCCAGGAGCAGGGCCACCCCCTCAACCCGGCCTCTTGCGGGGTCCCATCACCCAGACCCCCTCACTTCCACGGGGTAGAAGGAGTAGTGGGACCCACATCCCCGGCTGTGTGTCTGGAAGTGAATTATTCCACCTCAAGCAGGGACTGTGCCTGACTATTAAGTCTGGTCATTAAATTAAAGTTAGGAATTGAAACAATTCATGAATAACTCATAATGGTTTGTTGGGAAGCTCCTTAAGCTCTCAGGGAGCTATGGTTTGCTCTGTTGTTAAACTATAATTGTTATTATTAATGATGTTCTTAATAATTATCCAATATTAATTTGTGATAACAGCTGCACAGCTCTGACCTAGGTGATTCGTGGGATGCAGAGATGGGCCCGTCTTCCAGGGCTGCATGGGCTACACCAAGCCAAGGAGCTGGGGAGGGGAGGAAGGGACAGGACACAGATGGACTGGGAAAGGCCCCAGAGCAGAGGGAGGGGAGGAGAGGCAGGCCACGGGGGCACTCTCATGGGAAACACACACACCCCAAAAGAGGCCAAGCTGCGGCAGAGGGAGCCTGGCTAGAGGGAGCTGGGTTGGAGCTCTGTGCTTTCCAAGGGGCACTGCTGTCCACTATAGGATGAAAGAAGGAAGCTGCGAGCTTTTTGTCCTTAGGGATCTGTAATGAGAGCTTCACCTTCACATGTGTATGCACGTGAGAATCCCAGGGCCGTGTGTGCTCACACATGTATGATCATACTCCCACGTATACACACATGTGCAGGCATGTAAGCAGGCAGACTCATACATGTACACATTCAGAGTGCACACACTGCTCCCATGGGCTGCTGTGCTTCCTGCACACAGCAGGTGCTGGCGACTTGTCCAGTGCAGTGATCACCACCCCAGGGTCAGGGCCAAGCCTGGGGTACTGATGAGCTGAGAGGCACTACCTGCCCGCCTTCCCCACGAACCAGGGCTAATGGAGCTGCAGCCTCCAAAGACCAAAGCCGGAGTGGGAAGGCAGATCCTGGGGAGGAAGATGGGCATGTGCCAGCCCTGGGAGGGAAGCTGAATTGACGTCCAGGGAGAGAGGGGACACCAGGAGGGATGAAAATTGGGGTCAGGAGCCAGAAGCGAGTGAGGTGGCAGGGCAGGAAGAGAAGCGGGGGATGGGTCTCCATCACAGCTCTCCCACACTGCACCCTGCCTGGAAACCGAGTTCCAGGAGCCTCATTTTTCCCTCCATGTGTGGTAGGGGAGTGCAGGCAGGTGTGGGTGTGCAAGTGTGCTCATGTAAGGACACACACAACGTTGGACTCTGGCCTCTGTGGTCAGGACTAAGCCTCCTTTTCTAACATGGCCCTGATGGGCCCGCAGTTGAGCACAGAGCAGGACAGCCAGGCTGTCTGCTGCTGACAGCTGGGTCGTCCGTGGTCTAGCCAGGCAGATAGACTGGCCCCCTGGGTCATCAAGTCACATCCCTCCAGAATAACCCATTTGTCAGGGGCCACTGACTGCTTGTGACCACAGCCCAAAGCCCTTTGTTGCTGTGACCACCTGGATGGGTGTAAACCGACTACTCCCCAGCCTCTGAGGACGGCCCTCTTTGGAGATTTCCACTGAGGGCCCTAGAGGCCTGGTTGCCCTGTGGGATGGACAGGGGGTCAGCCATGCCAGGCGAGGTCCACCTATCCCCCTGGCCTCTGTTGCAGGTGGGCCAAGCGGGGCCACATCATCAAGGAGGCCTCTGGGGAGGTGTACAGGACCACCGTGGACTACACATACTTCTCAGATCCCGTGTCCTGCGAGGTCACCAACGCCCTGGGCAGCACCAACCTCAGCCGCACGGTGGATGTCTACTGTGAGTGCAGCGATGGGCAGCTCCTCTGCGCCAGCAGGCACCAGGCAGCCCCTGGCTGAGGACAGCGGCTGGTTTCATGGCACACACGGCCGGCCACTCCACATCCTGAACACACTGCACTCGTGTTTACGCTGCTGTGCAGAATGACCCCACCAGCCAGTGTCGGCCCACGATGCTCCACAGAAAATCAGGGGACTGGCACAGCTGCTCCGGGAGCTCACTCCTGGCTTGCAGACAGCTGCCTTCTCTCTCCGTGTGGGGCCAGCCTGGGAGGAGAGGAGAAGAAGCAAGCTCTCCTTTGTCCTTTATTAAAGAATAAGGACTCCATGCTCATGACCCGATTGCCTCCTGTTACCCAGTGTGACGCTGGGGTCAAGTTGCAGATAGGAATAGGAGGGACACAAATATGCAGTCCTGCCATGAGTGGATCCTATCGTCCCGTTACCCAGAGGAGGAGGTGGAGGCCAGAGGCCTCATAGTGACCAAGTGTCAAGATGAGAACAGAGGCCAGCAATGCCCATCACAGGTCCACACATTCCACTGAGGGGACTCATGGCCTTTCACCCTTCCCCACTGATGGCTCGGCAGGAACCCACAGAGAGTCAGCCCACTGCTGAGGCCCAGTGCCCTCCACAATTGTTCGTGCATGAATTGCCCTTTGTGGTTCAAAAGCACTTACAAACTTCCTGTTACCTGCCTCAACCCTTATCGCTCATCCCTCATCATACCCTCATCCCGACAGCCCCCACAGAACTTCTCCGCTTTATGGTTCATAACTAGTCCCAGGCTCCAGGCCCCAGGTGTTGGGCCCCGCCCCAGAGACAGCTCCAACTGCCTGGCCAGTGCTCTGCACACCCTGGGCACCCTGTGGGCCGAGGCCTGGGCTACAGGCCAGTGGGTTGTGGGGTGGAGAGGAGTGTGCACGGTGCCCTCCTACAGGGAGCAGAGGTGAGGGAAAGGGGGCCACGGTGCCTTCAGGTGGCTGAGAAGGAGGCTGAGGAAGAGGCCAACCTGAGGGTGCCCAGTGGGATGCAAAGGGCCCAGGGAAGAGCCTGAGGGAGCCACAGCCTTGCCTCCCTCTCTCCTGTCTCAGAGCCGCTGGGCTGGGGCTCTGGGAGGACTCGGGGAATGATTCCAGGTCAGGATCCCCAAGCCTCTGCTCACCCACTGGGGGTGGGGCACCCTGGACTTCCTGAAGTCTGCTGGGTACAGACAGGCAAGGAGATGCAAGGGTCCTGGGGTGAATCCAGGCCAGTGCTACCTATTGCTTCCATGGCCCAACGGAGGCTGGGCTGGGAGACAGGCTGTCCTCTGTACTTCTTCCACTCCCAGACCCAAGGCCCCACCAGGGCAAAGGACGAACATGGAAGGGAAAGAGCTGAATTGGATGGAGGTGGCCCAGGCACCCAGCTGTACCGTGTCCTCCAGCCAGGGTGAGGGGAAAGGGGAGGGGAGCAAAGAGGTTCCCCAGAGCTCCCCACCCAGATGCGCCCTCCCTCTTCCTCCTCCCCATCACAGTCGGTCCCCGGATGACCATGGAGCCCCAGTCTCTGCTCGTGGACCTGGGCTCCGACGCCGTCTTCAGCTGCGCCTGGATTGGCAACCCCTCCCTGACCATCGTGTGGATGAAGCGAGGCTCAGGCGTGGTGAGTCCCCAGGGCAGGGGCGTGGTGGGCAGGGGGCTCTTCCCTGCCGCTGGACTGGGGGGAGGTCTGTCTCCAGAACAAGCCCAAAGGAAAAGACCCCAGAACGGGGAGAAGAAACCCAGACACCCACTTCTCCGCATCTCTCCCTAAGCACACCCAACTTTGCAATTTCCCTGTAGCGAACCTTACAGGGAGAGCAGGTAGTTACCAGTACAGAGTGGTGGGAATTCACCAGAAAGGCTTTTCAACCTCCCCCAGGTAAGGTGGGAGCAGCGCCACATTTTCATGAGGTAGGAGGATCACAAGAGAAAGGCCTCCTTATGAAACATAGCAAGACCCTTTTTTGAAGGGGTAGGGATGGATGTAGCTTAGTGCAAAGGTCCTGGGTTCAGTCACAGCTACCACCAAAAAAAAAAAAAAAAAAAAAAA